GAAGAATATTGTCTTGTATAGATAAACCGTAATTTATTTAATCAGTCTCCTACTGATGGACGTATATTGTTTCCTGTTCTTTGCTGTGACAGTGAATATATCTGAATATACATATTTGTGCACTTGCTCTATTATTTCCTTAGAATAAGTTTCTAGAAGTGGAATTGTTGAGTCATAGGGTAAGAACATTCTATGAACATTTTAAAAGGTGATAATACTACCAGGTTGCTCCACAGGATGATTATACCAGATTGTACCAATCTAAATCCCACCAATAGTGTACCAGCATGTTTGTTGCCCCACATGCTAAGTGAGCATAATAACTCAATTTCATCTCTGCTAATCTGATAGCTCCTACAATTTTCAATGGCTTTGGCTTGTGTTATTAGCTCACTGGGATATCACTGATTCTGCCAATATGGAATGGCAGTTTGTTGAATTAAACATCAGCGTACCTATCAAAGTGAGTACCTTTTAGGTAGTAATTTTGGATTGGCCTTTTTAGGCAAATGTGAGGTGCTCTAAGCACCCCAACTTTTCTTTTAAGCTAATAAGGTTTTTGCTTTCCATGTGTACCATTTAGGGATCCTGTAAGTGCTCAAAGAGATCTTCAGGACCCTGACCTTACTTTCTGCTCCTAATCCCTAACTATTTAAAAAAAAATTTAAAACAATTTCAGACTTTCACTAAAGTTGTAAAAGAATAGTACAAAGAATTCCCATATATCTTTCATCCAGATTCCCCAAATGTTAACATTTTACGAATTTGCTCTTGCTTCCCCTCTCTCTTTCCTTGAACTCTGAGAGTAAGTTGCAGACATGATGTTTCTTCCCCAAGTGCTTCAAGTTCATTTTCTTTCATAATCACAGTCTAATTATGTCAGTCAGGAAAATTGACACGAAATTCTTATCTATAGACATTACTTAAATTTTGTCAATTTTCCAAAAAATATTCATTATAGAAAAAGAAGAAAAAAATTGGGTTCAGGATTCAAACCAGCATCATACATTGCATTTAGTTGTCATAAGTACCTCCTTTCTCTTTTTGATATTTTTTTCCAGAGAAATCTTAAAATGATGTAGATACATACTTTTTGGCAACATAAATTCTAAAAATATGGTTGTTTAGTTTTTTTGTATCTGGATGTTCTAAAGCAGAGTGACGTTGCTTAAAAAGGAAAACACAAGCTGGATACAGTGGGTCATGCCTGTACTCCCAGCACTTTGGGAAGCTGAGGTGGGCAGATCACCTGAGATCAGGAGTTTGAGACCAGCTTGGCCAATAAGTTGAAACCCCATCTCTACTAAAAATACAAAAATTAGCCAGGTGTAGTGGTGCGCACCTGTAATTCCAGCTACTTGGGAGGCTAAGACAGGAGAATTGCTTGAACCCAGGAGGCAGAGGTTGCATTAAGCAGAGATGGAGCCACTGCACTCCAGCCTGGGTGACAAGACTCTTTCTCAAAAGAAAAAAAAAAAGTGAAAGACAAGATCCAACAGGTTAGCAAAGTGGTGTATTCTGACCACAGATAATAGAAATTTGCTGCATTAAATCATAAGTTGCAAAAAATTAAAATTTCAAAATCCTTTAACAATACTCTGAACCTAAAGAAAAGATTTTCCAGAGGCTTTCTTGGTGGTTTGTTCGTTTATTTGTTTTTTGAGACGGAGTCTTGCTCTGTCAGCCAGGCTGGAGTGTAGTGCTGCAATCTCGGCTCACTGCAACCTCTGCCTCCCAGGTTCAAGCGATTCCCCTGCGTCAGTCTCCTGAATAGCTGGGATTAGGGACATACACCACCATGCCCAGCTAATTTTTATATTTTTAGTAGAGACAGGGTTTCACCATGTTAGTCAGGTTGGTCTCGAACTCCTGACCTTGTAATCCGCCCGCCTCAGCCTCCCAAAGTGCTGGGATTACAGGCATGAGCTACTGTGCATGGCTTTCCAGAGAATTTCTAAATGGATTGTTTGCCACCTTTGCTAGTGGTAACAGCTGTTGAGAAGTTTTATTTTATTATCTGCAAATAAAGTTACCTCCAAGTCCCTAGAAAGCCTAAGAAAAGGGAAAATTAAACAGACATAATGAGAAATACTTTTTTCCCACTCAACACTGTAAATGAAGAGCATTTGTGTTCTTCATAAGATAACACTAAACAGCTTTCCTTTCTCTTGAATCTTTTATTAAAGACCAAAATAACATGTAGATCCAAAATGGTGGCATAGCAGCAAGCTGGTGTCACTCTCCCACACAGAAAACTAAAAACAAACAAACAGCACCAAGATTATCACCAGCAATATCCCAGAACTCAAATATGAAGAAGAGACAGTTACTGGGTCCACAGCAAAGTGAAAAAAACTGAGAAGACAGAGAATCAGACTTCCACATCCATCATGTCCTTCCCCACATTTGGCCCAGCAATAAGGGTGGGAAAATTCTTCCTCAACACAGTTTCTACACTGGAAAAGGTGAGATTGAAGTGGACAACCAGCTTCTCTACCAATTTGGGTTCCCTCGCAGAAGACTTGTGCCTGCCTTAACCACAGGAAGCATCGTGAGTGCCTAAAGGGAGAAATGTCCCTGAGAGTAGGCAGAGACAAAGGAAGGAGGCATTACTACCAGGTAGCTTTGAAAACTCTGCTCTGTAACTCAGCTTAAGAGGACGCCAAATGAGAATGATTGCTCAGCAGCAACATGCTGTAGGAGATTTGTTCCACAGGTCCCCTGGGCACAAACCACTAGCCAGCCTTCCACACTGCCAAAATATCTTCTTTAGGGTTTCCCCAATTTAGGAAGGGCACTGATAAGATTGTTTGCTACAACTGAGGTGAAGCTGGGCTTAAGGAGCCACCTAGAACTGAAAAGGAGGCAGCAATCTAGTGGTTAAGGACCTCTAAGCAAATATATCTAATAAAAACCAAAATAAGCTAGTCAAAGAAGACTAGGATAAATAATCCTTCAATGCAAAGACACAGATGTACATCCATAAGAAACAACAGCAAATAGGGAAAGATGATCTCCTCAAATGGACAAAGCAAGGAACCAGTAACTGACCCCAATGAGATGGCAGTATGTGACCTCTCTGACCAACGATTTAAAATGGCATTCTTATGGAACTCAGTGATTTTTAAGATGACACAGAAAAGCAATTCAAAAGTTTATCAGGGAAATTTAACAAAGAGATTGAAATAAAAAAAAATCAAACAGAAATCTTGGAGCTGAGAGAAACATTTGCTGAACTGAAATTAGAGGCCCTCAACAGCAGGCTGGATCAAGCAGAGGAAAAAAATAAATCAGTGCTCTGAAAGACAAGTTATTTGAAAATACACAATGAAAGGAGAAAAAAAAAAAAAAACGAAACCAACGAAGATCAGCTACAAGATATAGGAAATTGCCTCAAAAGACCAAATCTAAGAATTACTGGTGTTCCAGAGGGAGTTGAGCAAGAGCATGGGGTAGAAAGTTTATTCAAAGAAATAATAAAATAAAACTTTCCAAAACTTGAGAAAGATGTAAATATTCAGGTACAGGAAGGTCAGAGAACACCAAACAGATTTGATTCAAATAAAACTAGTCCAAGGCATATAATAATACTCAAAGGACAAGGACAAAGGAAAGATGCTAAAAGGGGCATGATAAAATAAGCAGATAACATGTAAAGAAGCTCCAGTTCATCTGGCAACAGACTTCTCGATGGAGGCCATACAAGCCAGCAGGGAGTGGAATAACAAATTTAAAGTTAGGGAATTTTTAAAATTGCTATCCAAGAATACTGTCTCCAGCAAATTTATCCTTCAACTATGAAGGTGTCAAAAGTCTTTCCCAGACAAACAAAACTGAGAGAATTTACCATCATCAGATTTACCTTACTAGACATATGAAATGGAGCTCATCAAGAAAAAAATCCTAATGTGCAAAACAAAAATAAAAGAAAACTAAAAAACCATTTGAAGCTATAAAATCCGCTGGTAAATCTAAGTACATGGACAAACTCAGAATACTCTCATACTGTAATTGTTAGTTGCATTCTACTCATAATTCTAGTATGAAGCCCAAAAGACAAATCTATCTAAAATGATAATAACTACAGTAACCTGTCAAGAGATAGGTCATTTAAAACACATAAATTGAGACAACTAAAAGTCAAAATGGGGAGGAGAGTGGAGTTAACATGTAAATTTTTTTAGTTTTTTCTTTGTTTTTATTCTATTTTTTGTGATCTAAGTTGCCATCTCTGTAAAATAATTTCTTATATCATTAAGATGCTTTTTATAATTCTCAAAGTAACCACAACACAAAAACCTATAATAGATACACTAAAAATAAAAAGCAATGAATTAAAAGTACTACCAGAGAAAACCACTTAACCATGAAGGAAGACAGTAACAAAGGAAGCAAGAAGAATAAGGTACAAAACAACCAGAAAATAAGATACAAAATGGCAGTAGTAAGTCTTTACTTACCAATAATAACACTGAATATAAATGGACTCACTTCTCTGATTAAAAGGCATAGGGTGGCTGAATGGAGAAAGGAACAAGACTCAGCTACATACTACTTACAAGAAACTGATTTTGCCTATAATGATACACATGGACTGAAAGCGAAGAGGTGGAAAAAGAGATACTATGCAACTGAAAAGAGCAAGAGTAGCTATACTTATCTCAGATAAAATAGACTACAAATTAAAGAGACAAAGCACGTCACTATATAATAAAAAAGGAGTCAAGTTGACAAGAGGATTTAACAATTATAAATATGTATGCACCCAAAACAGGAGCTCCCAAGTATATAAAACAAACATTAATATATCTAAAGGGAGAGATAGATCACAATACAATAATAGTAGGGGACTTTAATACCCTACTGTGAGTAATGGATAGATTATCCAGACAGAAAATCAACAAAGAAACATTGGAGTTAAACTACACACTAGACTTAACAGGCCAAACTTATTTACCGAATATTTTACCCAGCTGCTGCAAAATGCATATTCTCTTTAACAGCACATGGAACATTCTCCAGAACAGACCATATCTTAGGCCGCAAAACAAGCCTGAACAAATTTTAAACAGTAGAAATCATATCAAGTATCTTTTCTGGCCAGGTATGGTGGCTCGTCCCTGTAATCCCAATACTTTGGGAGCCTGAGATGGGAGGATCACTTGAGCCCAGGGGTTTGAAAGCAGCCTGGGCATCAGAGTGAGACCTCATCTCTACAAAAAATAAACAAAATTAACCAGGCAAGGTGGCACCTGCCTGTAATCCCAGCTACTTCAAAGGCTTAAGTGGGTGGATCACTTGAGCTTGGGAGCTTCAGGCAGCAGTGAGCCAGCCTGGACAACAGAGAAATACTCTGTCTCTAAAAAAATAAAATAAAAATAATTTTAAAAAATTACCTTTTCTGGCCACAGTGGAATAAAACTAGAAATCAATAATAAGAGAAACCTCAAAAGCTTCACAAACAAGTGGAAATTAAACAACATGCCCATGAAAGACAACTGGATCAATGAATAAATTCAGAAGGAAATTTAAAAGTTTTTGAAATTAATGAAAAGGAAAATACAATATACCAAAAATCTGTGGGATAAAGCAAAGCAGTACTAAGAGGGAAGTTTATAGCCATAAACACCTATCTCGAAAGAGTAGAACGACCTCAAATAAACAACTTTATAATGCACCTCAAGAAACTAGAAAAACAAACACGAAAACAAACCAAAATTAGTAGAAGGAAGGAAATAATAAAGATTAGAGCAGAAATAAATGAAACTGAGACTAAAAAGTATTATGGAAGATCAATTAAATGAAAAGGTTTTTTTTTTTTTTTTTTTTTTTTAAAGATAAAATCGCCGAACCATTAGCTAGACTACGAAGAAAAAAGAGAGAAGAGCTAAATAAACAATCAGAAACAACAGAGATGGCAAAAATGCAAAGGATCATTAGAGATTATTGTAAACAACTATATGCCAACAAATTTGAAAACTTAGAAGAAATGGATAAATTCCTGGATACAGCAACCTACCAAGATTAAACCATAAAAATATAGAAAACCTCAATAAACCCATAATGAGTAATGAGAGCAAAGCTGTAATAAAAAGTGTACCATCAAAGAACAGCCTAGAACCTCATGGCCTCACTGTTGGATTCTACTAAACATTTAAAGAAGAACTAATACCAATTCTACTGAAACTCTTTTTAAAAAATGGAAGAGAAGGAAATATTTCTAGTCTTATTCCATTGGGCCATCATTTCCCTGATACAAAATCAGAGAAGGACACAACAAAAAGAAAACTACAGGTCAATATCCTTTATGAAAATAGATGCAAAAAAGAAAAAATCCTTAAGAAAGTACTAGCAAGTTCTCTTTCCCATCTTGCAAGATGGTGGGTGAAAAAGTTGAGAAGCTGGACACTAAGGAGAAGAAACCTGAAGCCAAGAAGGCTGATGCTAATGGCAAGGTGAAAAAGGGTAACAAAAAGGCCAAGAAAAGGAAGCTTCATTGCAGCTGAAATCCTGTCTTTGTCAGAGGAATTGGCAGACATTCTCAATCTGTATGTATTGCAGAAACATCATGTACAAGAGGAAGTACTCAGCCAGTAAATTAAAGATTCAAAAGAAAAAGGAGGTGTTTGCAACTATTGTAACACAAAATCAGTTGGTGGTGACAAAATTGAAGGTACTCAGGTGGTTAAACTTTGCAAAATCTATAGATTTATCCTACTGAAGATGTGCCCTGAAAGCTGTTGAGCTACAGCCAAAAATCCTTCAGGCAGCACAGAGAAAACGGCGAGGCAGCATCACTCCCAGGACCATTTTGCCCCTCTTCCCTGGGCACCACAGAGGCAAGAGGGTGGTTTTCCTGAAGCAGCTGGGCAGTGGCTCCTTACTTGTGACTGGATCTCTAGTTCTCAATTGAGTTCTTCTATGAAGAACACACAAGGAATTTGTCATTGCCACCTCCACAAAAATTGTTACCAGCAATGTGAAAATCCTAAAACATCTTACTCATACTTCAAGAAGAAGCAGCCGTGGAAGCCTAGACAATGGGAAGGTAAGATCTTCAACAAAGAAGAAAAGAAAAAAAGAGGAGATTACAGAGAAGTGCAAGGTTGACCAGAAAGCTGTGGAGTTGCAAATTTTACTAAAAATCAAAGAGATTCCTCAGCTCCAGGGCTGCTTGTGATCTTTGTTTTCCCTGATAAATAAAATTTATCCTCAGAAATTGGTGTTCTAAATATCTTAAGAATAATTTAATTAATTTTTGATGTGTTGTTGAATTTGGCTTTCTGGTTTATTTTTTAAAATGTATTTGTAAATACACACACACACAAATATCAACAACATATCAAAAAGATCATTCACCATTACCAAGTGGGATTCATCCCATGGATACATGGATGGCTCAACATATACAAATCAATAAATATGACATGTCACATTAACAGAACCAAGAACAAAAGCAATATGATTATTTCAATAAATGCTGAAAAGTATTTGATAAAATTCAACATTTCTTTTTAACAAAAGCCCTCATCTAATTGGGCATAGAAGAAACATAACTAAAAATAATAGAGGTCATATATGACAAACCTACAGATAACATTATTCTGGTAAAAACTGAAGTCCTTTCCTCTAAGAGCTGGAGTAAGACAAGGATTGCCACTTTCACTGCTTTTATTTAACCTTATACTGGAAGTCCTGGCCAGATCAATGGCAAGAGAAAGAAATAAAGAGCATCTAGATTGGAAAGGAAGAAGTCAAATTACCCTTGTTCACAGATAACATAATCTTACACTTAGAGAAAATTCAAGATTCCACCAAAAGCCTGTTAGAACTTATTAAAAAAACTCAATAAAGTTGTAGGATATGACATCAACATACAAAAATCAGTAGCATTTATATACACCAATAGTGAACAATCTGAAAAAGAAATCAAGAAAGCAATCCCATTTAAAATAGCTACAAAGAATATAAAATACCTAAGAATCAACTTAACCAAAGAAATAAAAGATCTATACAAAGAAAACTATAAAACACTTATATAAAAACAGTTGAAGAGGACACACAAAAAGATGTTCCATGCCTGTGGATTGGAAGAATTAATATTGTTAAAATGACAACACTACCCAAAACAATTTATAGATTGAATGCAATCTCTATCAAAATACCAGTGACATTCTTCACAAAATACAAAAAACTTCTAAAATTTATATGGAACCACAAAACACCCCAAATAGCCAAAACACTCCTGAGCAAAAATAACAAAACTAGAGGCATCACACATCTGACTCTAACACTTACCACAGGCAGAGGGGTGGAGTAAGATGGCAGAATAGAAGGCTGCATTATTTGTCTCCCCCACCTCCCATAGGAACATCAAATTTAACATCTACACACACACACACACACACACACACACACACACACACACACACACACGCACACACACTTTCATAAGAACCAAAAGCTAGGTAAGCACTCACAGTACCTTGTATTAACTTCACATCACTGAAAGAGGCACTCAAAAGGTCAGGAAAGACAGTCTTTAATTGCTGTTTCCTGGTCCCCCAGTAGTGGCTGTGTGGTGTGGAGAATCTGTGTGCTTGGGGAGGGGAAACACAGTGATTGTGAAACTTTTCATTGAACCCAGTTCTGGCGAGCCTTGTCACTCAGTGCTCTGGGGTTCTAAATAAACTTGAAAGGCATTCTAGGCCACAAGGACTACAACTCCCAGGTGGGTCTTAGTGCTGAGCTGGGCTCAGAGCCAGTGGACTGGTTGGGGGGGCACATAACCTACTGAGACACCAACCAGGGCAGCTAATGGAGTGCTTGTGACACTCCTTCTCCAACCCTAGGCAGCACACCTTGCAGGTCTGAGAGAGATCCCTCCTTTCCGCTTGAGGAAAGGAGAAGGAAGAGTAAAGAGGACATTGTCTTACATCTTGGACACCAGCTCAGCCACAGTAGGACGGAGTACTGGGCATAGTCATGAGGGTCCCATTCCAGGCCCTAGTTCCTGGACAGCATTTCTAGACACACCCTGGGCCAGAATGGAACCTGCTGCCTTGAAGGGAAGGAGCTAGCCATGGAAGCACCCATCATTACTTGCTAACTAAAGAGCACTTGGTCCCTGAATAACTAGTAGCAATATCCAGGTATTCTGAGCTCTGGTTGAGACTCTGAGAATTGCCAGCTTCAGGTGAGACACAGCACATTCTCACCTGTAGTGGCTGTAATGAGACACTCCCTCTGCTTGAGAAAAGCAGAGGGAAAAGTAAAAGGGAACTTTGTCTTGTACCTTAGATACCAGGTGGGCCACAGGAGGGTAGAGCACCAGGAAGGCTCTTGGGGTCTTTAATTCCAGTTGTGGCTCTTGGATGGCATTTCTGGTCTGACCTGTGCTACAGGGGAGCCTAATTCCCTGAAGGGTGAGTCCCAGGCTTGGCAACATTCACCATAAGCTCACTGAAGGGCCTTTGGGCCTTAAGTGAACATTGGTGAAAGCCTGGAAGTACTCCCTGTGGACCTGTGGTAGTAATGACCACAGAGTGAGACTCCTCTGCCTATAGAAAGCAGAGGGAAGAGTGGGAAGGGCTCTATTTCATGGTTTGAGAGACACAAGCCTGCCTGCTTCACCACCTGTTGACTGTACGGCTCTGGGTCCTTCAGCAAACATAGGTGGTAGCCAGGTAATGGTAATAGCAGATCTTGAGCAAGATCCAGTGCTGTACTGGCTTCAGGTCTGAACCAGCACAGTTCCAGTGGTGGTGGCCACAGGGGTTTCTTGTGTCACCCTACCCCCAGCTCCAGGAGGCTCAGCACAGAGAGAGACTCTGTTTCGGAAAAAGTAAGAGAAGAGAACAAGAGTCTTTGCTTGGCAATCCAGATAATTTTTCCAGATCTTATTCAAGACTGCCAAGGTGGCACCTCTACAAGTGTGCAAGAACCACAGCATTACTGGGCTTTGAGTGCCCCCTAATACAGATACGACTTAGATCACAACATCCAACTCCTTTCAAATGCCTAGAAGGCTTTCCAAGAAGGACAGGCACATTTTGGAAAATATACAAATATATGGAAATTAAACAATATGATCCTAATGATCAGTGGGTCAATGAAGAAGTTTAGAAGGAAATTGAAAAATTTTTTGAAACAAATGATAATGAAAACACAACATACTTACGGGATACAGTGAAAGGAGTACTAAAAGGGCAGTGTCTGCATCAAAAAAGAACAAAAACTTAAAATAAACAACCTAAAGCTGCATCTCAAGAAACTAGAGAAGCAAGAGTAAACCAAATTCAAAATTAGTGCAAGAAGAGAAATAATAAAGATCAGAGTAGAAATAAATGAAATTGAAGAAAAGTATACAAAAATAAATAAAACAGCTTTTCAACACAAAAAGGAAACTTTTATGAAAATTTGCCAACAAAATTAGTAAATCTTTAGCCAGACTATGAAAAAAAAGCAGATCCAAAAAAAAAAAAAATCAGAGTTAAAAAAGGAGATATTACAATGAATACCACAGAAATTCCGAGGATCATTAATGGCTACTATGAGCAACTATATGCCAATACACTGGAAAATCTAGAAGAGATATGTAAATTCCTACACACACACAACCTACCAAGATTGAAACATGAAGAAATCCAAAACCTGAAGAGATCAATAATAAGTAAGGAGATTGAAGCCATAATAAAAAGTCTTTAAGCAAAGAAAATTCCAGGACCCAATGGTTTCACTTATGAATTCTACTAAACATTTAAAGAATAACTAGTACCAGTCCTACTCAAACTATTGCAAAAAAATAGAGGAGGAGGGAATACTTCCAAACACATTCCTCAAGGCTAGTATTACCCTGAGAGCAAAACCAAAGGCATATCAAAAAAAGAAAACTGCAGTTCAATATCTATGATGAATATTGATGCAAAAGTCTTCAACAAAATATTAGCAAACTGAATTCAACAACATTGAATTAAAACAATTGGACTCATAAAGTTAGAGAGTAGGAGGATGGTTACCAGAAGCTGGGAAAGGTAGTAAGAAGGGATGGGAGGAAAATGGAGTTGGTTTATGGGTACAAATTAGTTAAAAAGAATGAATTAGACCTGATATTTGCTGGCACAAACAGGTAACTATAGTAAAAATAATTTACCAGTACATTTAAAAATAACTACGTATAATCTGAGTTTTTGAAACACAAAGGATAAATGCTTTAGGTGGTGGATACCCTATTTATCCTGATGTGATTATTATAGATTGCATACCTATATCAAGATATCTCAAGTAACCTAAAAATATATACACCTACAATGTACTCACAAAATTTAAAAATGGGTGGCTTCCAAATCTTTGTGATTGTGAACAGTGCTGCAATAAACATGAGAGTGCAGATATCTCTTTCATATACCGACTTCTTTTCTTTTGTATATATACTGAGGAGTGGGATTGTTGGATTATATGGTAGCTCTATTTTTAGTTTTTTTTTTTTAAGGAACCTCCAAACTGTTCTCCATAGTGGTTGTATTACTTTGTATTCTCACCCACAGAGTACAAGGGTTTCTTCTCCACATCCTCACCAGCATTTGTAATTGCCCGTCTTTTGGATATAAGCCGTTTTAACTGGGGTGAGATGATATCTCATTGTAGTTTTGATTTGTATTTTTATGATAATCAATGATGTTGAGCACATTTTTATATAAATGGTGTCAGTTGTATGTCTTTTTTGGAGAAATGTCTATTCAAGTAGTCAACAAGAGATGAATGGATAAAGAAAATGTGGCACATAGATACAGTGGAGTACTATTCAGCCATAAAAAAGAATGAGATCCCATCATTTGCAATAACGTGGATGGAACTAGAGGTCATTATGTTAAACGAAATAAGCCAGCACAGAAAGACAAACATCACGTGTTCTCACTTATATGTGGAAGCTAAAAATTAAAACAATTGGACTCATAAAGTTAGAGAGTAGGAGGATGGTTACCAGAAGCTGGGAAAGGTAGTAAGAAGGGATGGGAGGAAAATGGAGTTGGTTTATGGGTACAAAAATAGTTAAAGTGAATGAATAAGACCTGATATTTGCTGGCACAAACAGGTAACTATAGTAAAAATAATTTAATAGTACATTGAAAAATAACTACGTATAATCTGATTTTTTGAAACACAAAGGATAAATGCTTTAGGTGGTGAATACCCTATTTATCCTGATGTGATTATTACAGATTGCCTACCTATATCAAGATATCTCAAGTAACCTAAAAATATATACACCTACAATGTACCCACAAAAATTAAAAATG